GTCTTTCAACTTGATGGTAAAGTATTGTGTTGTTTAGGTTGATAAGGAATCAACTTTTTAGAAAGATTTACTAAATCTTTTAGGAATCAAATTTTGAAAATACCACTAAAAAAACTTTTAGGGGTCAAATTTTGTGAAGAGGTATTTAAATTTTAGGAGTCTGAAGTTTGAAAAGAAGTCCTAAAACCTGCCTTATCAATCAGTTCCACTATGATATATTGGTCTATTGTAGCAGTGAGTTTATTCTGTGTCTTCAGAACTATTTCTCCATAGACAGCCGAGATGGCACTGTAAGGACAGCAGTGAATAGATACAGCCAGGAGGAGGTGGCTGAGATCACCTTTATGGTGGAGGTGCAGGATTACAATGCTGAAAAACCAGCAGATCAAAGGGCCAATAGTAAGTCAGGGGCCTAGTTCATGATGCCAAGTCTTAACTTCATAGGTGTTTCTACTCAAGTTCTTTAAGATGGGACATAGGTTTCCATAGGTTTGATGGATTTTGGATTATGGTTAATTCCATGTGATAAGTGATATGTCTGTCATTATTGATGCTGATGAATTTCAACTGACATCAAATAATAGCATTCAGTCTTAACAGACCCAAAGATTGAAGAGAAATAAATATAAAATAAATCTAATTAAACTGATATTTAATTTTCAAAGTGTTTTGTTCTTGGATTTCAAAACATAATTAACCCTAGTGAATGTACTGATGAATTGGTATTTCTTTCATTTGTCTTCAGCGACAGTGTTCCTGATCATCCAGCAGACCCAGGGAGGGAACCCCACATTTGACGCCCCCTGGAGTGAGGTCAACCCCAAGCTGTACTTCTCTCTGAGTGAGTCCAGCACTGGGGTGGGGGCAGAGGTAACCACCCTGGGGGCCACTGACCCCAGTGACGGCAGCAGGATTACAAACTTTGAGAAGGTCCCCAGTTCTGATCCCTTGGATTATTTTGTTGTGGACAGGACTTCAGGTGGGTGTTGGATTATTTTGTTGTAAACAGGGCTTCAGGTGGGTGTTAGATTAGTTCATTTTTCTTCTGTAAATATTGTTGCAGTTTGTAAATAGTCATGTGTCTGTTTATTTGCCAGTTTTGCTGTCTAGTTTTCAGTCCTTTAATTGTAGGTAGGGTAACACTGAAGAAAAACCTTGACTATGACGCCATGGTGCGTAAAGAGGTGAATGTTCTGGTCAGGGCCATAGGGAAAAACATCACCCAGTTTTCCACAGCAGAACTCATTTTAAGAGTGACCGATGCCAACGACAACAACCCAGTGTTTCTGGAAAGAGTAAGTCACTCATGTTATTGCCAGTGTTCTTGACAATTTTAAATATAATGACATCAAGTTTCTTTTTAGAGCTGTGCTGATGTGAGGGTTATTTCAGTAGAAGTTTTTGTGTGAGTTAATTGGATGGATAATATTGTTTGAAATAACAGTAAAAATATATGGAGTATGTTGTCAGTGAAGTCTGCAATTAAAGTCTGCAATTTTTGAATTGGTAGACATTATAAAATGAAAAGTTGGATGTTTCATTTTGTTGCCAGACCTTTTTTTCACAGCTTGCTCACATTTCTTTCTGTGTATTATTGTTATTGATTGAAGATGAAGAGAAGTTACCCCTATCCCCCATATATTTCTAGGGCTACAGTTTCAGCATCTCAGAGAACCCTAACAGCGTGTTCATAGGCAGAGTCCAGGCCAGTGATAAAGATGACGGGGACTTTGGCAGAGTGTTCTACAGTATATCAGGGCAGGGTGCTGACAACTTTTACATCAACCCTCAAACTGTGAGTGTTTGACTTCTATTTAGTATTGAGATGTACATGTAATGCCAGGCTCTCAATTACAATATATATTCAAATCCAATTAGAAAAAAATACAACTTGAAAATGGATAGTCATTTTCTTTCTTTAGCATAGACTTTAAGGAATAATACCTGAAGGCCATGTTTTAAACATATGTTAATAGAGATCCTCAACATTTTAATGAATTGCCAAAATTATATTTCAGGGTGAAATTCGGTTGGCAGATGGCGCCACATTAGACAGGGAAACAACCCAGGAATACACCTTGATTGTGTCTGCTGCGGATAACGCTAATGGCAGCAGTACCTCCAGAAATGATGAAGTCTCAGTAATTACTATTTCTTGTTTTCTGTTTCTGATGAATGACACTACTGGTAGACGTATGTTACAAGAAGTGCACTTAGTTTATATTTGTAAATGTGACTCTACAAATTCAGAAAGGTATTTAGTTTAGAAGCTCAAGTGTGATTATCATTTCATATTTACTTAAGGCACAAAGAAAAATGATCTTTGATGTTAATCTTGATTTTTTCAATTACCTTGAAATTGTAAATTAAAGTTGAACTGACAGTGAAAACAATATGCATGCTGTGATGCGATATTTTACATTTCAGTTAAAAATAAAAGTGATTGATTACAATGACCATGCCCCAGAATTTGAGAGGTCCGTTTACCAGTTCTTCAAATACGACAACTTGGAGGCGCAAAGATCCATTGGCGTGGTGTCTGCCAAGGACAACGATGAGGGGAACAACGGTCAGATCATCTACACAATCAACAGTGGGAATGAAAATGGTGAGTTTGGTTGTTTGAAATTGAAATCAAACTTTAAATCATTTATTAGTTCCTACCTATAAATCAATCAATAGTTTGAGGTTAAATAAATGATTTTGTACTCAATGAATTTTTCTTTTTTTGTGTGATTGTTCCTTTGTTCAACTTTCATGCATTCATTTGTTAATTTATACGTTGAGTCATCCCCATCTTGTTTTGACGAATAAATCTAAGCATGATTGAACTCAGTATGTCACTGTGTTTTATCTACAGGTATGTTCCAGCTGGACCCCCAGACGGGTCTCCTGACGTCCGGTACACCCCTGACTGGGAGGGCCAGGGATCAACCCTATACCCTGCAGGTCAAGGCAGAGGACAGGGGGTCACCCATCCCCCTGTCTAACTACGCCACCATCCAGGTGACCATTAGGCCATCTCTGGCCGCAGACAGCAAGCCACGCTTTGAGGTGCCAGAAAGAGATGGAGTACAGTTCAACATTACTGAGGTAAGGAGACGGGATAGAGTTCAATATTCCTGAAATATGGAGATGGGATAGAGTTCAATATTCCCGAAATAGGGAGATGGGATGGAGTTCAATATTACTGAGGTTTGGAGATGGGATACACTTCAATATTAGTGAGGTAGGGAGATGGGATACAGTTCAACATTACTGAGGTAGGGAGATGGGATAGAGTTCAATATTCCTGAAATATGGAGATGGGATGGAGTTCAATATTACTGAGGTAGGGAGATGGGATAGAGTTCAATATTCCTGAAATATGGAGATGGGATGGAGTTCAATATTACTGAGGTAGGGAGATGGGATA